TGAAGTCGGACGCTTAACCGACTGCGCCACCCAGGCGCCCTCTATTTAACTTTTTGAGGAACTTTTTGAGGAAGTAGCAAACTGTTTTTTGCAGAAGGTGCAACATTTTACATTTGCACAGCAGTACATAAGGGCTATTTTTTTTTTTTTTTTTGAGAAATACCTGTTCAAGTCTTTTGCCCATTTTTCACTTGCATGGTTTGTTCTGTTGGTGCTGAATTGTATGAATTACTTATGGACTTTGAATATTAATCTTTCTTCAGATATGATTTGCAAATATTTTCTCCCATTCCATGGGTTGTCTTTTTACTGTCTTGATAGTGTCTTTTGATGCACAAAAATTTTAAATTTTGTTAAAGTATACTTTATCTCTTTTTTCTTTTGTTGCCTATGCTTTTGTCCTTATACTAAGAAACCAGTGCCAAACCCAAGGTTATGAAGATTTCTCCCAAGGTTTCTTCTAAGAGTATTATAGGTTTAACTTTTATGTTTAGAACGTTGATCCATTTTGAGTTAATTTTTGCATATTGTCTAAGATCAGGGTCCAACTTCATTCTTTTGCATGTAGATATCCAGTTTTCTTAACACCATTTGTTGAAAAGCTACTCTTTGGGGCGCCTAGGTGGCTCAGTTGGTTGAGCGTCCAACTTCAGCTCAGGTCATGATCTCACAGTCTGTGGGTTCGAGCCCTGCGTCAGGCTCTGTGCTGACAGCTCAGAGCCTGGAGCCTGTTTCCAATCCTGTGTCTCCCTCTCTCTCTGCCCCTGCCCCACTCTCACTTTGTCTCACCCTGTCTCTCAAAAATAAAAATAAAAAATGAAAATAAAAAAAGCTACTCTTTCCCCCATTGAACAGCTTTAGCATCAATTGAAAATGAATTGATCATGGGGCGCCTGGGTGGCTCAGTTGGTTAAGTGTCCAACTTACTCTCAGGTCATGATCTCACAGTCTGTGAGTTTGAGCCCCACGTTGGGCTCTGTGCTGACAGTTCAGAGCCTGGAGCCTGCTTTGGGTTCTGTGTCTCCCTCTCTCTCAAAAAATAAATAAACATTAAAATTAAAAAAAAAAGAAAAAGAAAAAGAATTGATCATGTACGTGAGGGATTGTTTCTGGGCTATTCCACTGGTGTTTATTGGTCTAGACTTTGAGAGGAATTGATGTTCATTCTTCTTTAAATGTTTGGTAGAATTCACAAGTGAAGTCATTATGGTCCTGGGATTTTCTTTGTTGGAACAGAATGCGAGGGGCCTATGGGGCACCATCCAGTGTACTAATATACATATTACTGGATTCCCAGAATAAAAAAAGAGAAAGGGGGAAAAAAAAACCCACCAGAAAGAAATATTTAAAGAAATAATGACTGAAAACAACTCCAATTTGATGAAAGACATGAATCTACAAACCCAAGAATCTCAGTGAACTCCAAGCAGGATAAGCTCAAAGAGATCCACACCAAGAGTCATTCAGATTGTCAACACCCAAAGTCAAAAAGAGCATTTGTGAAGGCATCAAGAAGAGGCTCCTCGTGTACAAGTGAACCTTGGTGATATCAATAACTGATTTATCTTCAGAAACTACAGAGTTCAGAAGTTAGTGAGATGACATTTTAAATCCCGAGGGGTTAAAATTCAACCAGGAATTCTATACCTGGCAAAACCCCTTGAGAATGAAGGTAAAATTGAGACATTTTCGGACAAACAGAAGCAGAGAGTGTCCATTGTTACCGATGGACTTGCCCTACAAAAATTGACAAAGGGAGTTTTTTGGGCAGAAATGAAAAGCCTCCAGACAGTAACTTGAAGCCATAAGAAGAAATACAGACCACCAACTGGTGAAGACACCTTAAGCCAGCATCACTGTCCTTTTGGTTTGTACATCATCTTCTCTCTCCTATATGATTTATAAGCAAGTGCATGAAAATATTCATGAATCTGCATTAATGGGCACTTAACAGATGAAGATATGATCTGTCACAATAACAGTTTAAAAGGGGGAGGACAGAGATGTCTGTGAGCAGAGTGTATGGTACTGAAGGTAAGTGGTATTATTTAAACTTGGTTGTTATAAGTGTAAGGTTAATTATTACATAGTTTTGACTAAACTATGCGTGTTACTTTCCTGTTGCTGAGGTAACAGCTTACTGCATACTGAGTGGCTAAAAATAGCACATATTCATCATCTTACAGCCAAGTCTGAAATGCATTTCTCTGGGCTAAAGCATCAAGACTTCCTCAGGGCTGTGTTCTTTCTGGAGACACGAGGGGAGAATGAGAACCCTTCCCGATGCCTGCATTTGGGGGCTCATGGCTCCTTCTGACTTCTGATTCCATCACCTCCCCTCACTCTGGCATTCCTAACTGCCTCTCCTGAGGGCCCGTGGCGTTGGACCCACCCAGATAATCCAGAATAAACTCATCTCAAGATTCTCAATCACCTCCACAAAGTCCCTCGGGCTCTGTAAAGTCACACCTTAATGTTACGGCTTTCGGGGATTAGGATTGGACATCCCTGGGAAGCCTTTATTCTGCCCACCGCAGCACATAAACAACTGGAAAAATAGTGAAGTGAGAAAAGAAATTATTGAAGCAACTTCTCAACATTGAAAACCAACAGAAATAAATGTTTTCAAGTTGGGGGGCTTGAAAAGAATCACTTCACAAAGAAAGGAATTACTTCAAATGCTTTTAAAACATAGTGTTTCAGGGAGCCTGGGTAGCTCAGTCGGTTAAGCGTCCAACTTTGGCTCAGGTCATGATCTCATGGTTGTGAGTTTGAGCCCCTCTTTGAGCTCTGTGCTGACAGCTCAGAGCCTGGAGCCTGCTTTGGAGGCTGTGTCTCCCTCTCTCTCTGCCCCTCCCCTGCTCACGCTCTGTCTCTCAAAAATAAACATTAAAAATCTTTTTTAAAAAAGAATAATGCTTGCAATGGGTTGAAATATGTAAAATATAAAACCCTTGATCACGTAACAATCGTGATTTATAACGGTGCCCCAGGAAATGCCTCACTAGCAGCCCCTGGAGGTGGCTAGGGCCGCCATCCATCACACCCTGTTACCACCACAGGCAGGAAGGCACGTCCTGGCTCTTGGCTGCCCTCCAGATCGTGCCTCCCGCCCACCCAGCCCCTTTGAAGAGGAGATTGTCATGTGAGCAAACCACACTCTACCTCTTACCGAAGCCTCTGCTGCCCCCTGTCCTTGCCCACATTCATGGTTGTTGGTCCCGCCTCATCTCCTCTCAGACCCCTGGCTTGCTCTCCCAGTGACCCTGTGCCACCCCACATCGGTGCTCCCACGCTCCCACGGGCATCCCCTAAACCTGAGCCAACAACTGTGTGGTGGCCAGAATCTCAGCCTCAACAACCCCACTCTTGACCCCCCATGTCTCTGTTAAGCTCCCCCGTCTTGCACCCACCTCCCCCAGTAATTCTTTGACCCCCATCAAGACATCTGATCCATTGGCCCCAGTGTTTTGTCACTACCCATCACCCCATCGTGTGCCTTGGAGCCCCTGGCCCGTCCCTACTTTGACTCCTCTGACGTATACCCACCGGCTCTCTGTTGAACTCGTATTGCAAATCCTCAGCCCTGGTCACACCCAGCTCCCCGCTTACCCTGCAGCAGAACCTGGCCAGAGAAACACTCTCCCCTGTGTGGACCAGTCTCTTTATTTAGGCCTCTGGTTCACAGATTCGCTGGCCACCGCCCTGCAGACCACCCACATTCCTTTGTCACTTTGACCCGCACCTCTCTGGATCAGCAATTTCAAACCTTTTCCCAACCCTCCAGTGGACGCAGCCCTTCTCCCTTCTTCACTGAGGCTGGAAGTTCTTGCTCTGGCCTCAGGGGGCCGGTTTTGCACCCTCGCGTGGACCCTGACCTTGAGCAAGTTAACAGACTGTGCATGCGTTTTCCCTTCTGTGAGACTGGAAAATAACAGTATTTACAACTTAGTTAGAAGAATCAGGTAGGGTATTGCACGTCAAATGCTGACAACACTTGATGCATGGTAAGAGCTTAGTAAATCCTAGCAATGATTGACACCATTTACAAAAGAAGAAACTGAGTCAAGTTATACAAGATCCAAGGTCAGCCAGGTTCGGTGAAGGGCCCACTGCTGTCTCAATGGGGGCTTTTTCCATTACCTATGCAACTTTTAGGACCGGTTCCCTGTTCTCTCCACTTCCCGGAAGTCAAACGCCTGCACTCAACCTGAGCTCCTGTCCCACGCTCCAGCTGGATTGGCCTTCTCTCCCAATCTGGAGCCACCATGCCAAGAACCTGGAAAAACCTCGAGTCCTTGACCCATAATTTACTAGCTCCATGCCACAGGGCACATTTATTCCATGTGGCTAAACCTCAGTTTCCTCCCCTGTAAAACAGGGAGGGCACGGGGGTTATGGAAGAGTCTATAGAGAATGCACGGGTCCTGGTGCTACATCATGTCCCACTGCCCAGAGGAGGTCTGTACCGTGAGGGATGGTGTCAGTGCCGTCTTGGGCAGTTAGACATTGTGCCTTCACGGACAGATGGATTCGTGTTGGTTTTTTTTTTTTTTTTTAATTTTTTTAACGTTTATTATTGAGAGACAGAGAAAGACAGAGTGTGAGCAGGGGAGGGACAGAGGGAGAGGGAGACACAGAATCTGAAGCAGGTTCCAGGCTCTAAGCTGTCAGCACAGAGCCCGACTCGGGGCTTGGACTCACAAACCGTGAGATCGTGACCTAAGCCGAAGTCAGACGCTTAACCAACTGAACCACCCAGGCGCCCCCGGATGGATTTGTGTTTTAAGTGCCATAGATACCCTTGGTCTTTCGATAGTAAAAGTGCAAAATTCCTGAAGAGACGGCTTCTCTTGGAGATGCCGAGGCCCCCACAGTCCCCACCCCCGCCCTGCCGTGGCGGGAAGGGGCTTGTGTCGCAAGTGGTGCATCAGTGACAAAACCCTTCTCGTTTCTTCCCACAGCCCACATAGCCACTGCCTCGGGAGGAATCATCTTCTTCCTCACCTACCTCCCATACCTGTACCTCACTTTCAGCTACTCCCAGAGGACCCACTTCCAAAAGATTGGCTTTTGCCTGCTCTCGAATGTCGCCATGGCACTGGGAGTGCGATTTATCTCCATATTTGAGATAAGAGGTGAGTCCCACCTTTCTCCAAGGGACGCTGCCTCAATGCCCTGTCACCGCTGAGGCAGGGTGACCTGAGTTCCCATGAGAGCCTCACTGCACTCTTCATTCGGCGTCCTGAGCGTTTCCGATCTGCTCGAAGCTACGGTAGGTTGTAGGACACGTTTCACACCACACAGCTTGCAGTGTGGTTTGGGAGCAAAACTAAAGCCTATTAATGATTTAGGAGATGATATGACCATGCAGTCGTACAGATATAAAAGATACAGAGTTATGGTGCACCTGGGTGGCTCCGTCGGTTAAGCATCCGACTTCATTTTTTCTTTTTTTTAATTTTTTTCAACGTTTATTTATTTTTGGGACAGAGAGAGACAGAGCATGAACGGGCGAGGGGCAGAGAGAGAGGGAGACACAGAATCGGAAACAGGCTCCAGGCTCTGAGCCATCAGCCCAGAGCCCGACGTGGGGCTCGAACTCACGGACCGCGAGAACGTGACCTGGCTGAAGTCGGACGCTTAACCGACTGTGCCACCCAGGTGCCCCTAAGTGTCCGACTTCAGCTCAGGTCATGATCTCATGGTTCGTGAGTTCGAGCCCCACATTGGGCTCTGTGCTGACAGCTCAGAGCCTGCAGCCTGCTTTGGGTTCTGTGTCTCCCTCTCTCTCTGCCCCTCCCCTGCTTGTTCTCTTTCTCTCTCTCAAAAATAAATAAAAACATTAAAAATTAAAAAAAAAAAAGATGCAGAGTCATGATTCGATTTGGTTCACACTTTCAGAATTTTATGGATAAACGGAGTGCTATCTACATACATCATGTTTGAGGCTCACAGCCTTCAGGGTCCATCTAGGGGACTTCCCTTCAATGGTGTCCTACTTCCAACTCCCACCTTTGGAAGTGCACCCCCAAGTTTTCATGTGTCTTATGTTCTGGGGTCGGAAGGATCCTTCCGAATGCCAGCAGTCACAGCAGAAGATTGCAGCTAGCATATCAAAATGTAGGGACCAGCTGGCCTCAGTAGGCTTTCTGCATGAGACCGTCCCACATTTCCGCAGCACGAAGGTGATCTGCTGTGAACACTCCAGCAAGTGTCTTCGTTGCTCAGTGTTGGTTTTTATCACCAGAGTCCTGGTTCCAGACACTACGGCTTGGCTTAGCAGCAGCAGGGATAGGAATTCTATGTGGGACCTAGGTTATGCATCCTCTTAGGGCAGTTGGGATTACCTTCAACAACCTGCTCAGAGGCACTATCTATCAATAAATGTCTTTAGGTTGGGATGGTCTAAATGGGTGAAGGGTGCTTAAAATATAACGGAGGGTGTCAAGTTGGCCAGAATTCATTGCAGGTGAGTGGTTTTCTTTAACAAAGCAGTGACGAGACCACACTTTGCAAACGACAACGGGGGAAAAGTAGGTTTAAAACGGTAGCTCCGGGAGCACCTGGGTGGCTCAGTCTGTTAAGCGTCCGACTCTTGATTTCAGCTCAGGTCGTGATATCGTGGTTCATGAGATCAAGGTTGGTGAGATCAAGCTGCATGCTGGGTTCAGCGCTCAGCAGGCAGAGCCTGCTTGCGATTCTCTCTGTCCCTCTCTCCCTGCCCCTCCCCCCCACTCTCATGTGCACACTCTCTCTCTCTCTCTCTCTGAAAATAAATAAATCAACATAAAAAATAGTACCTCCGATTTCTTCCATGTTAGTGAGTGAATAGGGGAATTTTACAGAGCCTCTCTGTTGAAAGCGGGGGGAACTTGGGTGAGCAGTTGGGCTGGACGAGCTTGTGGGTTTGTTCCCACGCTGGGATTCTCTCGGGGAGAGACTGAAACGACACTCGGCAGGGCTACAATGCGGTCCTGACAGCCGTGGGGGTCCGAGCATCCTGGGTGGGCATCCTGGGTGGGCTGAGATGGCCCGGCTCCCACGCCTCTGCCTCCTGCAGTCACTGGGTGTGGACCACCCGGAAAAGGCTGTGAGGAGGCTGACAGCTGAAAGCCTGTCCGGCAGCTGAGGTGACAGCTTTCGTGAAGGGGGCGGGGCAGGAAAGTACATCCCTGTGTCCTTATACCAACCCCTGATACACGGGACGGCCTTGGGGAAGGTGCCACGGTGCTGGCTGCATCGTGGAAGAAAAACAAAGGAGAAAATTGCCTCCGTGAGCCTGTCACAAGCTGCTTCTCTGTTGGAGCTGCAGCCCGGATCGCCCTGCAGGGGCAGGCCAGGGACCCTCAAGCAACAGCCCAGGTGCCCGGCAGAGCCGGCCTCACAGGCAAAGCCTCACAGGTTTTCAAGTACAAGGCGGTGAAAAACATAAGGAAATAAACAGCCAGGGACAGGAACCAACAGAAACAAGACAAAGTGAAAACAGATTCACAGAGTCCTCACATTTTGGGATTACCAAATCACAGATTATAAAACAATAATGCTCGTGATAGGTTTTTCTGTTCATAAGGCAGGTTTGAAAATATCTGCAAGCAATGGGGACGCAATACTCCTTGGGGGAAATATAAAATACGACCAACCAAGGAGCATGCTTCGTGGATGGGTCACCAGTAGACTCAAAACAGCGGAGGGAGAATTATGACCTGGAAGGAGGTGAGAAGAAACCACGCAGAAGGCAGCAATGAGGCCCCAAAGGATTTTAAAATGGCAGGAGAGCTGAAAACTGACGCAGGGAAGAGTGTTTTGCCTCCATTTAAGCAGAGATCCGGCAGGAAATGAGAGCAGGGGCAGAGGAAATGCATCTGAAAAGAGGGTGCCCAGATCTGTCCCCGAACTCAGTGTCGGGAAGCCCAGCAAATCCCAGACGAGAGTAATAAGAAATCTACACTAGGCACATCAGCGTACAACGGAGCACAGCAGATGGCAAGAGAAAAATCTTAAAAGTGGCCTGGGGAGCAAAAAGGAAAATTGCTTTTCAACAGAGCCACAGTGGGGGCCTGAAGACAGTGGCTTCATACACGGGTTGTGTAAAATAACTACAACAACAACAGCAGCAGTGGCAGCAGCGGCAACGGAGATTCCTTTAGGTTTTGTTTTTTTTTATTTTTTAATGTTTATTCATTTCTGACACAGAGAGAGTGGGTGTGCGTGCACGCAAGCGGAGGAGGGGCAAGGAGAGGGGGAGACACAGAATCTGAAGAAGGCTCCGGGCTCTGAGCTGTCGGCACGCAGCCCGATGCCCGGCTCAAACCCACAAACTGTGAGATCATGACCTGAGTCGAAGTCAGACGCTTAACCGACTGAGCCACCCAGGCGCCCCTAGGTTTTTGTTTTTTGGGTTTTTTTAGAGAGCGAAAGAGTGCGTGCATGCAAGTAGGGGAGAGGGGCAGAGAGAACCTTAAGCAGGCTCCAGGCTCAGTTCAGAGTCTGTCGCGGAGCTCGAGAGCTCGATCCCACAACCATGGGATCATGACATGAGCTGAAATCAAGAGTCGGATGCTCAACTGACTGAGCCATGCAGGCGCCCTCCCTTAGGTTTTTATTCTTTATTTTTTTAATAGGTAAAAATTTTTTAACAGGTAAAATTAAAGTGTATAGGAGGGGCTTTAGAGGGGATCATGTCAGAACCCAAAGGGAGTAAATACCTTCCAGAAGGAGAGTAAAGATAATTAAGTTTAGACTTTGCAACATAAAGCAGACCTGGTGATTCATTACTGAGCCAAGCAGGCCAGAAGCAGTGGGTAACTTTTAAACTTAATAGAAGAAAGAGTAACGAAAGGTTGGCTGAGTCCAAAAGCGGCATAAAAGAAGAGAGGACTTTGGTCATACGCCCACCTCCACGGCGTGGGGGCTGGAAGTCGGGGCGCAGGACGGGCACACCCTGTTCAGAACACTCTAGATGGAACGGACATGGCGCAGACCCCTCCCGCATGCACCTTCTTCCTGCATATAATTAGATAAATCATGGGAGGAAGTCACAGCTAACCCCTACCTGATCCAAACTCTAGACCTGAGCCAAAGTCGGACGCTCAAACGACTGAGTCACCCAGGCGCCCCCTCAAATTAAAAAAAAAATTTTTTTAATGTTTATTTATTTTTGAGACAGAGAGGGACAGAGCATGAACAGGGGAGGGTCAGAGAGAGGGAGACACAGAATCCGAAGCAGGCTCCAGGCTCTGAGCTGTCAGCACACAGCCCGATGCCCAGCTGGAACTCACGGACTGTGAGATCATGACCTGAGCCGAAGTTGGACGCTCAACCAACTAAGCCACCCAGCCGCCCCCTCAAATTTAAACGAAAGTACAGAGAGGCAAGAATGGCCAAAACCGCTTCAGGAAGAGCAAGATGGGAAACCTTGTTTTCCCGGACATGATGATCTATCAGAGAGCAATCATAATTAAGACTGACAAAAAGATTGATAGAACAGGAAACCCAAAGCCAAAGGCACGGGTGAAGATCGACAGTGACGCCGACCCCCGGCAGTGGGGGTCAGTAAATGGTGCTGCGGGGACGGGAGGACCTTCTGGGGAAGTTGAAACTGGACCCGCAAATCACAGCACCCACAGGGGTCAATTCCAGCGTCAAAACTCTGTAACGCTCTTGGCGATGATGATATAAAAGAGAACACTCCTATCCTCGAAGTGGGAAAGATTTCTTAAACAAGACGCAAACTAAATGACCGTAAAGGGGGGTGGATCTGACGTCGGGGCAGACTAGCGCTGTGCGAGGACGCACCTGCTCTCGAGAACCGTGTGGGCTCAGTGTCCACCGCAGCCTTGGAGTCCACCCTGAGCCCTGCGAGATCTGATTGTCAGGCGCGGTGGAAGGCGACGCTCTCGTGTGGACCAGTCGCGGGATCGCCTCCCAGGAAGGGCCTCGGAGGCCACCTGGCCCTTCTCCCCACGGCAGCTCAGCTCAGCTCAGCTCAGCCCAGGTTCGTGGGGTGGGGCGTGGGGGGCCCTGACGCGCCGAATGGGAACAGAACCTCAGGTGCTCAGCAAGCACCTTGAAGTCTGAGGAGCAGCGACCTAGCCCGTCTGTATGCTCGCCCGCCCGCACTCGAATCTCTCCCTCGGCGTTGCTGGTTCCCGCCACAGCGAGCCTGCTGGCGGACACTCAGTATCTCGGACGCTTTCAGTGAGAAGCCTCGGCCACTTGCACCCAGATTAGACACACGGCGCCACACAGGCTACTTTCCTCCCTACGCGCCCAGGACCTGGTCCCAAGCCAACTCCTCGGTACCTTCCTGTATTTGTGGAACAGGGATGTGTGATTGCCCACAGCACGTGGGGCCCCGGGGCAGACGCTGCAGATACAGTGATGGGTGAACAGTTAACTCGGGCAGGTTCACAGCACAGAGCCCTACCCTCTCCGATCGCAGTTAGCTCAGGGTGCCGGGGGGATGGGCACATAACCCGGACGGGGGAGGGGTGCAGGGTAAGGAGACCCCTGGGCAGCCCTCACTTCAGGTGAGAATTAGCCCGGCGGACAAGGCGGGTAACAGGTGCGGAAGCGGGGAGGCGTCTTGGATGACCGCGTCCCTATTCGGTGCCAGTGAAAACACTACCGCCTTCTGGTAAGACTGAAAATGTTTTGTCGTGTGGGAGACACTCACAGCTCTAGCTTTCCCCCCTCCTGTGCCTTGCGTTCGTCCCCTGGCGCCCCAGTCATCAACTCTGCAGGCCTGCGGGAGGCGGGAGCGGGACGTCCTGCCCTCCGGGTGCTGACTGCGGCCCTTTCTCCGGGCAGGCACAGGCCTGCAGTGGAAGAACGTGGGCGGCTTCAGCGGGGAGTTTAACTTCTGCCAGGTGCTGCTGATGCTTCTGCTGGACTCCGTCTTGTACGGCGCGGTGGCCGGGTACGTGGAGGCCGTCCTCCCGGGCGAGCACGGCGTGCCCAAGCCCTGGTACTTCTTCGTCATGGTGAGTGTGGGCGCCGCCGCTCTGCAGACCGACGCAGACCGTCCACGGCCTCCCTCCCGATACCCTCGCCTGTCGTGGCGGTGTCCCCGATGAAATCCCGAACCCCAGGACACCTAAGCTGGGTCCTCTAAGCCGGATTCACCCCGGAACCTATCAGCTTGCGGTCACCAGGGGAGCACGATTAACGCCCCGCCAGCGGCCCCGTTGTGAAGGGGGTGACCCTGTCTGACGTGCACGGGTACTCACTCTGGACCTCTGCGCGGCCGCCCTGCTGGCCCTTCCCAGAGGGTGGACAAGCGCCCGCCTGGTACTGCTCCAGGCCTCGGCCACAGGGAGCTTGCCGGCATGCCGCGAGCCAGGGCGGGGCGCGTCCCCGTCACTCACTCCGTCCTCAGGACCACGAATTGCAGGCTAGAAAGCGGCTTGCTGTTAGTGGGTCCACGAGCTGCTTGACATCTCCAGGCACCACTAAATATTTGGGACCAGGAAACTTGGGGGCTGGAGGGGGAGGGATGTGGAGAACTCGGTTTACCGAAATATTTATCTTCCCGAAGCAGACAGTGGACTCACCCGCACGTGCTCATGTCAGCTGCCTTTCTGTCTAGCCATCCCACTGGCGTGGACAGCCCGTGCCCCTCACGCAGTCGGTGCTCCGGGTGGCGGATCCGGACAACTCTCCAAAGAGCAAGTTGATTCAGGAAGAGCCTACCAATTTGAAGAAAGGGATTGAAATCCAGCATCTCTACAAGGTATCGGCTCACAAATCTCCTTCCAAGAACTGAAGAAACAGGCGCAGAGGCTTCTGTTTTATTGTTGATGGGGGTTACGAGGCACAATTTCCTGACCGAGGTTTCGTTTCCTCCTGGAATGCTGTCCTCAAAAGAGGAACCTGATGTAAAGTGCCCTGTCTCCTGGGGTGCAGCTAAGTGGAGGAGGGTGGAGGGTCTGGATGATCTCTCTTGAAATAACCCGCCCCCCTCACCCCTGCCTTGCCAGCGCCCCTGCCTGGAGACACCTGGGACACCCTGGGACTCAGCCACTTGCTGGCTGACTTCCATCCTCCACGGTTCACACACCCAGCCACTCGGAGCCCCAGCTCTCAGGGCCCGCTTCCAGCTGGGGCGTGATTCCCTGTCACCAGCGTTGGCTGAGCCCTTCCTGCACGCAGAGCCCCGCGTGACTAGGCGGTGCCGCGACGGGACGCCTGGACACAAGCCCCATGCCGGGGATGTCCCACATTTTCTCCTTTGGCCCCGTCTGTCCTTCAAATGCGATGAGTCCCAAGGAGAGGCGGTTTCCTTGTACTGACAACGCAGCCTTGTCACGCTCGCAGCCTTTCTCTGCCTGTGGGAGCTGGAGGGGGAGGAGGCGTCACATTCTGGCCCGGGACGGGATGGCTCCAGCTCCCTCCAGGCATGCCTGCCACTTCCACAAGCAGGGATTCCCTTTGTGCTCACACAACAGGCTGTCTGCAGCCACACGGTTCTGGCATGATTTCTGAGGGGGCTTAGCCAGGTAATGCGGGGAAAGGTGTGGTTCTAGAAGCAGGGAGAAATCTCCCTGCCAAGCTCTGAGCCCCTCGTCCTCGAGCTCTGGCCTCCGTGGCTCGGGTACCAGGGACAACCCCCAGGACTGCGCCCCACCCCCGTCAGGCTCCTCACCAGCACCCCCCCCCCACCCCGGTCAGCTAAACCCCGAAAAGAGGGCTCCCTTCTACATTTCCACTTGGATTCCCACCGATGGGCTGGCAAGGGAACTTGGGGTGGGTCACAGGTTCGTCACAAACGCCACGTGTGTGCACGTGCTCCACGGTCAGTCACGCGCTGAATTTTCCGCAGGTCTATCACACAGGAAAGAATAAACATGTAGCAGTCAAAGACCTGACCCTGAATCTGTACCAGGGGCAGATCACCGCTGTCCTGGGACACAACGGAGCCGGCAAAACCACCACGTGCTACGTGCTCACAGGTACCTGTGCGGGGCCAGCCCCTCGAGGAGGAACAGACCCCGAATTCTGTTCCATCTCCCCTCGTTAGATCTCACTGACGTCTTAACACGAAGCGTTTGCTGTTTGTTTTTAAGCCATCTGTATCCTGTCTGGCTGTTCACGTGACCTTGTAGCAGGAAAAGGAAATTTTTGGCTCTTTCAGCCTGCAGACTCTGATCTCACACGCTATCCAGGAGCTGTGAGCCCTGCCCTATGTGTGTCTCCCCACATAGAACCTTCCGGTACAGGGAGGCACCACTAATATCCTAACCATGAAATCCATCCATTTGCTTCTGATTGGGGGGGGGGGGGCGGGGGGGGAGGTGGCTCAGTTAGGATGAGACCTGGAGAATTATCCTACAATTACTTCGGTTTCACAATCATTTTGATGCCTACATAGTTATTTCATATTCTGTCAGCTGAAACAATAGGCTGCGATGTTTGAGAACTTGTTCATTCTGCAAATATGTATTTCTTGGAGCCTTAACCTGTGTAAAGTTCTGTACAAGACCAACGAGACACATTTCTGAGCTTCAAGGAGCTCTGAGAGCCAAGCAGTCACAGACATCCACCCTGCCAGAGAAACTATCGGCATCTCAGAGGCAGGCTGCCTCGGTTCCCCTCTCAGGCTGCTGTGCACCTTCTCTGGAAGATTCTGACGAGCAGCAAAGGGGAAACTTGGTCTGAGGTTCCGTCGGTCTCTCCCCCTCCACGCCCCGTCCCCGGCATCAGGATTTTAGGATCTGAGGCTCAGCCCCACAGACGCTCACTGGACAGGCTCTGTGGGGGTCAGGACAGGGGACTGAGGCAGGCAGGTTTCCTGGACTGGGGGGCAGTACTGTCTCTAGACAGGGGTCCTTGTCAGATGCAGGCATTGCTGATGCCAGAGGCCTCTCCTCCTGTATGGACTTGAGGTCCTCAGCGCCTGTAGGGTGACCCAGCTAGACCCCCAGGCCACATGACTAAGGCCCTAGTGTTGTTCAAAGACAAAGACGTAAACCATTTCCCCCGCCGCCCGCCCCAAACACACACACAGACACACACACACTCTTCCCGGGTGCTTCCCTCTCTGCTGTTCTCAGCAGTGGTTTCTGTATATGCGTGCTACCTCTGTCTCCCACATCCCTCTCTCCAGAGAATCTGTTCTGTTTCCCTCTGGCCAGTGGTGCTTGGATCAGGGCTTGGCAAAGAACAGCCACGCAGTAAATACTTTTCAACGAATGACTGACTGAATGAATGAATGAACGTAATTGCAAGTCCTGCCACAATGCGGACCACGAATGACCTCTCAGAGATGAGCCACGGATTTCTACCGGCAGTGACACGGCACAGAAAAAAAGGCCAACACGGCCCTGGAGAAAGTGGCACGGCTGAGAGACACCGAGCGAGACTGAATAGCCCTGAAGATGCTAAGCCGGGAAGGGAAAGCCTGGCTGAGGGCCCAGGACACTGAACATTGAAGGGCTTCTGTGCACGGAGGCCCCAAAGTTGGCACAGGCCTGTTCTGTATCTGAAACCCCATTCCTCCACCCAGTAAAGCTATGTGGGTTTTGAAAAAAAAATTCTAGGAGCTATTCTAGTATTGTAACTCTACATAAAAAGACTTATGTATTTAACGTGGAAAGCATCACTGGTTTTCCTCCCCATCCCCCAACCGCAGTCACCGATGCTTTATCGTCCACAGGCAAATGAAAGATCCCAAAACGCCATCAGTGGGTAATTTGGCAGGAAGTATCAAGAACCTGAAAGTCTTGTCCCCTCTTGGCCACCGAATCTACTGACATTGGTTTGGAGTCAGAAAGTGTATGGGGAGGAAGGCAGAGTTGAGATCCATGTTCATACTCACGAAACACTGCAAACTACCTAAATACCTAAATACCTACTAGCATGGTGTGAATAAATACGCAGGGTATATTCATAACAATGAAATCCTGTTAGCCTTCGCAAATTATATAGATCTCGTTGACGTGGAGAAATGGCCTCAGTAGACTGTTTTGTGAAAAGGCCAGTTAAAAGAACCAGAATTTATATTTCCCAGTTTTGCTAGAAACTTAGCATGTGGGACAGCGTACGCATAAGAACGTAAGAACACAGTCGGAAGTATGCAAAACAATGTTAACAGCGGTCGTGTTTACAGGTTGGGATGTGCATAACCTTCGTCTGCTTTGCCCTTCTTCCTTTAACCCTGTTGCAATAGACATCTATGGCCTTTTTCAGTCTGAAAAAATACAACTTAAAATAAGAAAATGAGACTAGGGGGTGCCTGGGTGGCTCAGCCAGTTGAGCGTCCGACTTCGGCCCAGGTCCTGATCTCAAGGCTTGTGAGTTCAAGCCCCGAGTCAGGCTCTGTGCTGACAGCTCAGAGCCCGGAGCCTTCTTCAGATTCTGTGTCTCCCTCTCTCTCTGCCCCTACCCCACTTGTGCTCTCTGTCTCTCTCTCAAAAATAAATAAACATTTAAAAAATGTTTTTAAAGGAACTGATAATAAAGACAGAGTACACAGATGGGCCGTATACACATCCCCACATGCACCAGGCAGGGGGTACGATCATTTGAGTGCTCCCTGGGGCTTACTGGGAATTTACACGGAATCAGTCATGGGTCTCAGGTCAAACCTATTAGACAACCCAAACACCATCGTTCTGAACCACGTTTCCACAGTTGCTCTTAATGCTCACCTCAGTGTAAGCATGACGCGCACCCGTGTGTGTCTTCTTCACCGAGGCAGGCTGGAGCTCCTCAGACGTAGGAAGGAGGTCTCCTGCCTCCGCTGCCCCCACACATCCTCACTCACTGTCACAGATCATCTACGCCTCGGATGTTCCCAATCGTGACAAGGCAGAGGCGGCCTGCACGCCAACAAACAGAGTGTCCTTACACCCTTGCTCTGCCGCATGCTCTGACTGCAGGTGACCTTGGGATATGTCTTCTCCTTGCTCCTAGGTCTTATTCCCCCTTCAAGTGGGTGTGTGTATATCAATGGATATGAAATTTCACGCAATATGGCGGAGATCCGGAAGAGCGTGGGCTGGTGCCCCCAACACGACATCCTGTTTGATGACCTCACCGTAGCGGAGCATCTCTCTTTCTATGCTCAGGTGAGTCTGTGCGCGACAGGCTGTGGCTTCTCTGCGTCCTGGTGGTGGGAAGACAGGCTGTGGCTCCCTGACCCCAACCTCAGAGGGTCCTAAAACCTCTTTTGGACACTGTTCCCCAACCATTTGGGGAGGAGGAGAGGCAAGGGTTATCATTAGGGTAGGGTGATTATAAAGGATACAAGTCGGGACCAGCCGAACGAAGAGACATACACACAGGGTGAGGTCTGGGTGAGTCCCACGTGCGAAGCTTCCATATCCTCAGGACATATACCCTGCTGGCACGTCGCCGTGCAGGAGGGCAGCTCACTTAACCTTCCAGTGTCCAGTTTTTGTTTTTTTTTTCTATTTTTTAAAAAATATTTTCGGGGCACCTGGGTGGCTCGGTCGGTTAAGCGTCCAACTTCAGCTCAGGTCATGATCTCACGGACCGTGAGTTCGAGCCCCGCGTCGGGCTCTGGGCTGATGGCTCAGAGTCTGGAGCCTGCTTCCGGTTCTGTGTCTCCCTCTCTCTCTGCCCCTCCCCCATTCATGCTCTGTCTCTCTCTGTCTCAAAAATAAACGTAAAAAAAAAAAAATTAAAAAAAAATATTTTCATTTATTTTTGAGAGAGATAGACAGAGTGTGAGTCAGCTCATTAGCATAAACTAAGGCGTGGCCCAAGGGTACAGCCCTGAATAACGACACACGCATCCCTCCAAGGGTGTAGAGGCCCCTCCCACTGACTGGGTGAAAAGCCAGCCAAACTCTTGCCTTTGCAACACTTAGATTTCTCATCTGTGGAACGTCCCCTGGATCCCGGGGGGTGGCTCCCACTTGGTCAGTAGGTATAATCCTTTCCTTCATACGCTGCTGTACTTGGTACTGATGAGACTCATATCCACATGATTCAAACCCCAAGAGCCTTGTGCCCATCCCTTTCCACAGAGGTAGTAAGTTTCTGGGGTGCAGTTTATGCAGGTAGTAGCAAAATGCCTGTGGGACAGCTGGGCCTCTACCAGGGCGGCATGGAGGGAAGTCAGGGCACAGAGCGCAGCACGTGGAGGGAAGGAGGAGGCGCCAAGCCCGGGAGCCCCTGCCCGACGTCCCTGCCCCCGCTGTCTCAGCTGAAGGGCCTGTCCCGCCTCAAGTGCCCCGAAGAGGTCCAGCGGATGCTGCACGCCCTCAGCCTGGAGGACAAGCGGGACTCCCTGAGCAGGTGCCTGAGCGGGGGCCTGAGGCGCAAGCTGTCCATCGGCATCGCCCTCATCGCGGGCTCCAAGGTAGGCGGGCGGGAGGCCCCGGGGCGGGGCGCCCAGCACGGCGGGCGGCCACGGGGAGCCGCCGCCACCCCGCCACCCTGCCACCCGCCACCGGCTCCTCGGCCCGGTCCGCAGGTGCTGATGCTGGACGAGCCCACCTCGGGCATGGACGCCGTCTCCAGGAGGGCCATCTGGGACCTGCTGCAGCAGCACAAGAGCCAGCGCACCGTGCTGCTCACCACGCACTTCATGGACGAGGCCGACCTGCTGGGGGACCGCGTGGCCATCATGGCCAAGGGGGAGCTTCAGTGCTGCGGGTCCTCGCTGTTCCTCAAGCAGAAGTACGGTGAGTGGGGCGGGCGGGGCCCTGCGGCCGGGCCGGGGCCGGGAAGGGAGGAGGGGGTGTGGGAGCAGACTCAGATCTGGAGGCAGGACACTGATGTCTGAGTTCCGTTCTGTGGGTTCACGGCCTCTCCACCCACGCGGCCAGGGGTTTTATCCTTCTTCCACCGTCCTTTCCCGATGTGACAAGTGGACACTCAGGGACCATGCTCCTCAAGGACTGAGCCAGCGTGTGCGAAGCACCTGTACAGATGTGGGGTGTTTCTACAAGTGGCTCCCTTGTTTTCCTGGACCCCACAGCCTCCTGTGTCACTGCCGCCCCCATCCTTCCTCTGCCCCCTGACCGGGTGACCTCATCCAGCCTGTGGTCATCCTCTCTCCAGCCCGGATCCCTTCCTGAGCTCCCCGTGCGCGGGCGCTGCCCGGCTGCGGCAGGCTTGTCCAAACCCTGTGCAGCCCCGGGCTCCCGCACTCTGCCCACAGCACAGGCAGACGATGTCCTGTAGGATGTGGGCCAAAACCTTGCAGGCTTACTGACCCCTCCGTCTGTCAGAGCCCATATCCTATCTGTTCCCAAATCCTGGGGGCCTTCCCTTCCCCCCTCACCTCCACGCCCGTCTAGCACCCTGGACTGGCTTCCATCCTCTCCTGGCCTGGATTGTCACACCTGCCTGCTGACCACCACCACTAACCACCCCCCCCCACCCCCCACCGCCCTGTTGTCAGAATGAGCCTGTCACTCTTCGGCTCAGCCCTGCAGTGACCTCCCCTCCCACCGAGAGCAAAAGCCAGAGTCCTAGGGGTGGCCCACGGGCCGTGCTTGGCCTGGTGTGCCATGTTTAAAATCATACTCCCTGGGGGCACCTGGGTGGCTCAGTCAGTTGAGTGTCTGACTTCGGCTCAGGACGTGATCTCACAGTTCATGAGTTCGAGCCCCGTGTCAGGCTCTGAGCTGTGAGCACAGAACCTGGAGCCTGCTTCGGATTCTGTGTCTCTCTCTCTCTCTCTGCCCCTCCCCTATTCATGCTCTGTCCCTCTCAAAAATAAACACAAAAAGAATTTTTTTAAATCACATTCCCCAACCCTCCACACCCCGTCCCATGTCTGTCTTTCTTGACACATGGCTCATGTCACTAATACTCTATACATTTTCCCTGTGTATCTTATTGTCTGTCTCACACTCCTTTAATGAAGGCCCATGAGAGCAAGAACTCCTGACTGGTACCTAGAACAGTGCCTGTCTCATCGCAAGGGCTTGAGAAATGTTTGTTGAGTGGCCCAATCGCCAGCATCACGCTAACAAGTGTCACTAGTGTCAGAAACGATGTTCAAAACGCCAAAAGCATGATGTGATTATTACAGAGGTAGCCTTGTTCTTCACGTTGATGTGCAAGGTCTCTGCCAAGTCAGCTGCCCTCCATACAGCCCTCTGCCACGTCGGCCAGCATCGCTAAGTCCGTCATTACCACCTCCGGTCACGGAGGAGAAGGCCAGACCCTCCAGAATACCGGCCTTCAGAGGTCAGTTCGTTGTGTGAAAACAATTCATCCCCACGGGGCCCTCCAGCTCCACGTTCCCAGGGAGCCGCCCCTTCTGACCTACAGAAAAAGTAAGTGCAGCTACAAAGAGTAAGATTATTTCAGGCTCTTTGAAATGTTGTTTCAGGTGCAGGATATTACATGACTTTAGTGAAGAAACCTCACTGTAGCACAGAGAAGATTGCCCATCTGATTTATCACCACATACCCAATGCGGTTTTGCAGTCCAGCATTGGAGAAGAATTAACGTTTATTCTTCCTAAAAAGAGCATGCCCAGGTGCGGACCCCAGGGGGCGGGAGTACCTGTGTGTGTGCACGGGAGTACCTGTGAGCGTGCACGGGAGTGCCTGCGTGCATGCACGGACTGTCCAGAGCCATCCCCCGTCTCTGTCCTCAGCAAGAGCTCTCTGTTCTGTGAGGGTCTGGACCCCCAGGCCTTTGGTACCTCCTGGAGAGACAGCACACTCCAGCCTAAGCACACTTGAAAATATGGGGCTCTGATCATGTCACCTCCATCCTTTAAAGCCCTCGATGGCTCCCAGAAGCCTTCAGGTTAAAGTCAAATTCTTAAATATGGCTTTACAGGGGCCCTTTTATTGGGTGACTGAGCTCAGATGAAGGTTTTACCTGATTTTCTTTAATTATTTCAGACCCCGGATAGGTTCCCGGCACCCCCCCAACACCCCGTCCTCTGCATCATGTTGTTCTCAAGTAGGAATCTTACCTCCTACTTCACTATGAAGTCGAGAGCCAGCAAACAAGAACTCCGTCTCACTCCCACACAAGCCCACACTCGCTCCTTTCTTCCTTCCATCTCTTAACAGCCCAGAACGTGTCCCCTTCCTGCTGAAGGCTCACCCTTCAGCCCCAGCTGCGCGTCTACCCACCTTGCTTCTCAGGAACGCACCTGCTTGACTCACCCCGCCCATCCACACCATCAACTCCTGTCTCCACTGGGTCACTTCCAGGAGCACCCGAACTCCCCCACCGCCCTCTCCCCAGCCCCTGGCCCCCACCGTTATATACTTTCTGTCTCTAAGATCTGGACTGCTCTCACTGCCTCTTATGAGTGCCAGCGTGCACTTTCCCATTGGCTTTTGGATCTGTCCTTTCGTGACTGGCTTAGATCACTAAGCACAGTGTCCTCAAGGTTCAATGTTGTGGCGTCTTGCAGAATTTTCCTCCTCCCTAAGGCTGAATATTTTTCCCTTACACACACACACACACACGCACACACACACACACCCCACGTTCTTTATCCATAGCGGACATGCGGGTTGCTGCCACATGTTAGCTATTGTGAATAATACTGCCATGAACATGGGTGTACGAGTATCCATTCACGACCCTGCTTCCCATTCTTTGGTGTATATTTCCTCGCCATTCATAGGTCTTCTTTGAAGCAACGTCTATTGCCCATTTTAAAAAAAACTTTTATTTATTCAGTAATGTCTACACCCAGCATGGGGCTCGAACTCACGACCCAGAGATCGAGAGTTGCATGCTCTTCTACCTGAGCCAGGTGCCCCCTGTTGCCCATTTTTGAATCGAGTTGCTCTTTGCGTTGAGTAGTAGGAATTTTCTATATATTCTGGATATTAATCCTTGATTAGATATAGCATTTGCAATATTCTCTTCCATCCAGTGCGTTGTCTTTTTATTTTAAATGTTTTATTTATTTTTGAGAGACAGAGTGTGAGCAGGGGAGGGGCAGAGACAGAGAAGGACAGAGGATCTGAAGCAGGCTCTGCTCTGACAGCAGACAGCCCGACGTGGGGATCGAACCCGCTGGGCCGCCTTTTTACTCTGATGATGGTGTTTCTTGCTGCACGGTTGTTGTTTTTTAATTTTCATGACATCTGATTTGCTCATTTTTTTCTTGTGTTACCATACCCTTGGTGTCACATCCAAGAAGTTACCGCCAGATCCCATGTCATGAAGCTCTGTCCCATGTTTCCTCCTGAGAGTCGATTTCAGGTCTTACATTTGGGTCCTCGATCTATTTTGAGTTAGTTTTTGTATGTGGTGTTATGTAGGGTCCCATGTCATGCTGTTGTGTGGGGATGTCCAGTTTTCCCAGCCCCACCTGTTGAAAAGACTGTCCGTTTCCCCTCACTGAATGGTCTTGGCAACTTCGTCGAAAACTATTTGACAATAAATGCGAGGACTTATTTCTAGGCTCTCTGTTCTTTTCCATCTATGCGTCCGTCTGCCTTTGTGCCAATATTGCCCTGCTTGGATTGCTGTCGCTTCTTAGATGGCCGGGGAGCGTGAGTCCTCCAGTTTTGTTCTCCTTTGAGATTGTTTTGGTATCCAGGGTCCTTTGAGATTCCATATGAATCTGAGGATGGCATTTTCTACGTCTGCAAACAACATCACTGCTTTTTTGGTAGGGACTGCACTGGATCTGCAGATTTCTCCAGCTGGTATTGACATTTTAACAAAATTAAGTCTTCCAGTCCATAAACAGGGGCTGTGTTTCCATGTATTTACAACTTCTTTCATTTCCTTCAGCAATGTTTTATAGTTTTCATCGTAAAAGTCTTTCACTTCCTTGATTACGCTGATTCCTAAGAATTTTTTTTTGATGCTATAGGAAATGGGGTTATTTTTATAATTTCCTTTTCAGATCTGTTCATTGTATTTAGAAATGCAATGGATTTTTGCGCGCTGACTTTGTCTCCTGCTACTTTGCTGAATTTGCTTATTAGTTCTAACAGCTTCTTTGTAGCATCTTAGAGTTTTCTACATATAAGATCATATCATCTGCAAACAGATAATTGTACTTCTTCCTCTCCAGTTTGGATGCTTTTTACTTCTTTTTCTTGCCTGACGGCTCTGACTACAGCTTCCAGTGGCACACACATCAGACAGATTCTGCCAGCGCCGACGCCGTGCCAGGGGAGGGGCACATTCCGAGTCCCTCCCACTCTGCCGTCTTCCTGGCGTCCCTGTCTCACACGTAGGCCCTCAGCCATGACCCAGCCTCCCCAAAACACAAGCGGCGGAGTTAAATTAGCGCTTGATTACAAAACGATACCTAGAAAATCCACAAATATTTGGAAATGCAACACCACACTTCTGAACAGCTTATGGGTCAAAGAGGAATCAGTAATGATTCGGGGGGTGCTTGGGTGGCTCAGTTAAGCATCTGACTCTTGATTTTGGCTCAGGTTATGATCCCACGGTTGTGATATCGAGCCCCACATCTGGCGCCATGCTCAGCACATGCTCAGCACTTAAGAATCTGCTTAAGATTCTCTCTCTCTCTCTGTTTCTCTGCTCCTCCTCCACTCTCTCTCTCTAAAAAAGGAAGAAAGAGAGAGAGAGAGAGAGAGAGAGAGAAAGAGAGAGAAAGGAAGCTCAGAATACAGAGAAGGAAAGAAATAATAAATACGAGGAGAGCAAATGATGAAATAAGAAGCAAAAGAAAAAATCGAGAAATCTAAAATCGCCAGACATTGTTTATTAAAAATATTAATAAAAGTGACAAGCTTCTGCCAAAGCCATTAAAGAAAAAAAGAAGAAAAGACAAGAACCAGCCACAGGAATGAACAGATCATTCTGCACACCGACTGCACAGTCAGGATGGGACATGGAGAAAAGATCACAGACAAATTGGATTTGGATACAACAGGCTGATTCCTTGAAAAACACAATCCACCAAAACTGACACCAGGTGGGAAAGACGAGGACGAATCACCGTGCATCTACTGACAAGATCAAATCTGCAATGACAAACGTTCCCGAAAAGAAAATGCCAGGTCCCATCAAACGCCGAGGAAATTTAAAAAAAAGAGAGAGAGAGAGAGAGAAGGGAGCAGCTCCCAACCCGTTTAAGGGCATGAGTCTCCAGTAGCAAAACTCTGGCACATGAACACGAACACAAAGTCTTGAGCAAAATTACGAGCCGGCAAATGGACCTACCTGGGGATCCCAGGACGGCTTCGCACCCAGGTCTGGGGCCTCAGCGGGGATTCCCGGAAAGCCTTCCAGCTGGGAACGGTGGGCAGCACATGGACGCGATCCTCCCAGGCCCGGTGGCCCATGGCTCCGAGAAACCACGGCAGAGCCCGTGGGCTTCCTCTGACCCGACCCCCATCACTTCCACCCAAATGTCGGTCAGCAGGAGAACCAGCACTCACACTGGGGCATATTGCTTTTGGTGAACACTCACCCACAGAGACACACAATGAACAATAATACACTAGCAATGCGCGCAAACCACACGGTCAAACTTCAGAAACAAGTTGCATAGAGGAAACCAGACCCAAAGTAGACGAAGATTCCACTTATGTGAAGACAAAGACCGGGTATGGGGAACCTCTGGTGGTGGAAATAGAGACACTGGTCATCTGCGGGGAGGAGACAGAACCTTCTGGAAGGGGCAGCAGGAGCACTGTGTAGGGTGACGGAAAGGCCTACCTCCTGGGGCACCCGGGTGGCTCAGTCAGTTGGGGGTCCGACTTCAGCTCAGGTCATGATCTCACAGTTCGTGAGTTTGAGCCCCACATCGGGCTCTGCACTAGCAGCTTAGAGCCTGGAATCTGCTTCAGATTCTGTGTCTCCCTCTCTCTCTGCCCCTCCCCCACTCACATTATGTCTCTCTCTGGAAGATAAACATTGAAAAATTTTTTTTAAAAAAGTAACATCACCTCTTGACTGACACGAGAACAAGGCATCTCACTACGTGAAAACTTTGCTCCAATTTTTCAGAAGGGACATACTGACTTTGTTGCAAGACAGTAGCAATCCATGAGCACAATTTCAGTAAACGACACTGAACACACAGCACAGGCCGGCTGCTCTGCAAGGTGTCCTTATGTTCACTGTGCTCTTTACGACTCGGTGCATGAGGTAGTCTCTACCCTACAGATGAGGAGAGACTCGGGACGTGAAAGAGCTAGCCCAGAGTCACACGGCCAGGCAGCGGCAGAGTCCGCACATAGTCACAGCACAGCCACAGTCAGTGCACTGTGCAAGCTCTTAACGCACCTGCCGCCCTTGGGGGCGGACGAGAACGCCGCGCAGCCTCATGAGGGCATCAGGCATGCGAGCGGGGTTTCTTACAGGCACTTTGCCGGCCTGGACACTGGGCTGTGAGGGAGCAGATAGGAGATTGTGGGTTTCTTAATATCACACAAAAAGCCACAATCCATTCATGCATGCATGAGGAAGGGTTTGAGATCAGCAGGTTGTTAAGAATTAGCTCCTTTCCTCATTTACCGTAACAGCAGGAAAACCAAAACAAAAAAGAGCACTCACTGTCTTTGGAGAGAACGGCCTGGGTTTGTGCCCTGTCTCCGCCGTGTGGTCTTGGGGAAGTCACTTAACCTCAGCACTGTCTTCAAAGAGCTGTGGAGACAATTGCCGGAGTTCATAGGTGGAAAAGGGCTTGGAACGGCCACTGGCCCTAGTCAGCACTCCAAAAAGAGTAGGAAAGAGATGGAATGATATTCGCACAACGTGCGAGGTGTGTGTGCGATTTACCCTCACAGAAACATTCTGGAGTAAATGCTGTCACCCTCATCCTCACCGGTTCAAGTTCAGAGTCCTGAAGCTAGAGGGCGACCAAGTTGAGATTTGAACAAGGTCCAACTCGACTCCACAGCCCCCGCTGTTTGCCCTGCGGAAAGCTCAGGGTGACGGTGATGGCGGGGCGGGGGTGGGGGGGGTCCCCTCGCACCCGTGAGGAATAAAACCTCTCTTCCCTTCCAGGTTTGCATCTCTATTTACCGAGTTGGAACAGAGGCAGGTGGAGCTGGGGATCGCCAGCTTCGGGGCCTCGGTCACCACCATGGAGGAGGTCTTCATTCGGTAAGCAAGGGTGAAACTGTCACGCATCTACCCGTGGACCGGAGCCCGGCTCCTCCTCGGAGCGCCCTTGCTGGGCGGCCTCCCAGTCTCTGATGAGGACTTCTAGCAATAGGGGTACGGCTTAACAGAGAAAGCGTTGAACGCAATACCACTTTCTAGGAGTGGCGTATCATGTGGGATGTCGTTGACTATAATTGACTCAGCTGGTTTATGCGGCTCTGGAGTTGGCCTATTGGTCTGATTTTTTTTTTTAATGTTTATTTATTGTTGAGGGGGAGAGAGAGAGAGAGAGAGAGAGAGAGAGAGAGAGAGAGAGAATAAGCTGGGGAGGGGCAGAGAGAGAGAGACACACACACACACAAAATCCGAAGCAGGCTCTGGGCTCTGAGCTGTCAGCCCAGAGACAGACACAGGGCTCGAACTCAAGAACTGCGAGATCATAACCTGAGCCAAAGTCGGACGCTTAACCAATGGAGCCACTCAGGCGCCCCTGATTGGTCCAGTTCGACTGTCACGAGGCAGGACACAGGCTTACTTCTAGGAAGGCCGTGAAGGGGCACTCTAGGAAAGCCAACCAGAAGACCAAAGAAGGCCAGAGAGGGGCGATGGGAACAGGTCAGTGTGACTTGATCCAGTCTGGCAATATCTGTCTTTTAACTGGACCGTGTAGGCTATTTGCAAGTATTGTGACTGATACGTTCGATTTTATATCTATCATTTCATTTGGTATTTCCCATTAGTCTTCTCCTCCCCTTTTTGGGTTATTTCTCCTGATTCTATATTTTCCTTCCCCACACTAGTTGGAAAGTATACGTTCTTACTGTATTATGGTAGCAGTCAGCCTAGACGTTGAGACACACAAGAGTGAATTAATATCTTTACTCTGCTTCTGGAAAACGCCAAGACCTTGGGACGCGCACATATCCCACCATCACCAGCTTGTATATAGCGTATATTTTAATTCTCTCTTTTTTTTCAACACCACAAGACAGTATTATTGGTAGAGAAAGCCAATGGTCATTCAAACTCATGTGCACGTATCCCTGCCTCTGTGTTCTTTCCTCTTCTCGGGTAACTGTCCTGCCCACAGTACAGTCTTCACAGCACCCTTCAGCGCTTTTACGCGGGTGCCAAACACACTTGTGTGGGGTTTCCTGGGGGCCCTGGAAATGATTTTAGTTCTCTACGTTTTGAAGGATATTTTCACCAGATTGAAAGTAATCTTCCATCGGTGCTGAAAATACTATTTCGCGGACTCTACTCCTGTGGCTGAATATGAGCTGTGGGTCTAACCCTTGTTCCTTTGAAAGAAATCGGGCCACTGTGCTTCTGATGTTATGCAACTTAACCATGGTGTATCTCCGTACGGTTTTCCTTCTAACTATCCTGCTTGACATCTGATGGACTTCTGGCCATGGATGGAACGTCTTTCACGACTTCCCACGTGTGAGGCCACCGCCTGCTCCCATGGTGCCTTGCTCCTCACCGTGGGACAGGTGTTTCTTCTCTCACCATGGGACAGGCGGGATCCTCTCATTCTGTGTGCTGGGTGAGTCTGCCCTTCCTTCCCCCCTCTCTGGCCCTCTGGTCTCCCGGAGCCACGTGCTGGCTCAGACCCTCCGACGTACCACCCAGGTGGCTCTTCCCTCTTCAGCTGTTTTCCATCCTCAGCTTGACACTTCCTCTGGGTTCTCTTAAATAATTAAGTTTTTACTGAAGCATGACAAATGTACCAAAAGGTGCGTAAACACCAAGCCTCTGGCTCAGTTTTCTTCCGGAGTTCCTGGACTTCTTGTGTGCTCTGGATAGAGGTCCTCTGTCGAGTACGTTTTCTTCCCAGCCCGTGGCTTGCCTGTTCCTATTTTCGGAGCCCACCTGTAGGTCAGAGTCATGCTGCTACTCTCTCCTCTAGGAACGTTACCATTTTAGCTTCCGCATTAGATCTGTGACCCCCCCGGTGTTAACTTTTCTGTGCAGTGTGACAAGAGGCTGAGGTTCATTTTCTTTTTTCAGTTCATTTATTTATTTGGGGGAGGGGGTGAGGGGCAGAGAGAGAAGGAGAGATAGAATCCCAAGCAGGCTGCATGCTGTCAGCACAGAGCCCGACTGAGGCCTCGAACTCAGGAACTGTGAGATCATGACCCGAGCTGAAGTTTGACGCTTACCCAACTGAGCCACCCAGGCACCCCAAGGTTTATTTTCTTGCACGTGGGTACCCAGTCGTGACGGAACCACTTGGCGAAGAGACTTCCTTCCAGGCTGAATTGTTTGGATGCCTTCACCAAAAATCAATTCACTGCACATGTCCATTTCTATGCCCCCCTCTTCTGCCCCACGCTAGACCCACGCGGTCGAGATTACCGCAGCTTTACAAAGGACATCTTGAAGTCAGGTAGTAGATAGTTTCTCCGGATCTGTTTTTTGAAGATGGTTTTGGCCATTACAGATCATTTGGGCTAACATGTAAATTTAAAAATAAACTTGTCAGGGGCGCCTAGGTGGCGCAGTCGGTTGAGCGTCCGACTTCAGCCAGGTCACGATCTCGCGGTCCGTGAGTTCAAGCCCCGCGTCAGGCTCTGGGCTGATGGCTCAGAGCCTGGAGCCTGTTTCTGATTCTGTGTCTCCCTCTCTCTCTGCCCCTCCCCCGTTCATGCTCTGTCTCTCTCTGTCCCAAAAATAAATAAAAACGTTGAAAAAAAATTAAAAAAAAAAACAAACATGTCAGTTTCTATTGAAAAAAAAAAAAGAACTTGTTGGAAAGCTGGCTCATCGGTTACAGCAGAAACACCACGCTAATGCAAGGTGTGAACAGTACGGAAAAGTCGGCAGCAGGGGAGAGAAGAAGTATATGGGAACTCTGTGCTTTCTGCTCAGTTTTTCTGCAAACCTAAAACCATCTAAAATATAGAGTCTTTTTTTTTTTTTTAAACTGCTGGGAATATGACCGGTACTAGGTTGAACGTATATATCAATTTGGGGACAATGGACATCTGAAACATGCACCGTGCCAATCCACAGGTACTCTACACAGCCTCCTTTATCTGCGAGGTCGTCTATAATTTTTATCAGCCATCTCTTGCATTTTCCAGAAGCTCTGCCTATCTTTTATTAAACTTATTCCTAAGTATTTCAATTTTTTTCAAAGGGATGGAAATGGATCTCTCAATTTCATTTCCAATCACTTGCTGCAGATCTAGAAATCATTTTTTAAGTTATTGATATCTAGAAATATTGCTTAACTCAGTAGTTCAAACAATTTTGGGTTGACTTCCTTAGTATTTTGGATAGGACCATCATGTCATTTAAAGACAGTTTTACTTCGTATTTTCCAGGCTTCATGCCTTTTGCTTGCTTATCTCACTGCAAGGGGCCTCAGCATAACACTGAGTCCAAGCAGAGAGGGGGGACGTCCTCAGCTGGTTAGGCAGAAGCGCTTCCTTGTAAGATAGTTTTTAGATAGTTTATTTTCAGCCATACATATATTCAACTAGGGACCTGAGATATAAATTTCCCTTTGAGCTTCACGTGCCTGCGTCGCACAGTTGTTTGATATGTAATCTTTTCTTCCCCATCCAGTTAGAAATATGTTTAATTTTCTATTGTGGTTTCCACTCTGACCTGTGGTTTATTTAGAACTGTGTTTCTTAATTTCCAAACTCGTGGAGAGTTTTGTTTTTTTTTACTGTTCCTATTCAGGGGCACCCGGGGGCTAAGTCGGTTAACCATCTGACTCTTGATTTCAACTCAGGTCATGATCTCACAGTTCATGGGTTCGAGCCCCGCATCAGGCCCTGTGCTGACAGCTCAGAGCCTGGAGCCTGCTTGGGATTCTCTCCCCCCCACCCGCAGCTCTCTGTCCTCCATTCCGCTCATGCGTGTGCGCTCTCTCCCTCTCTCAAAAATAAATAAACTTAGAAAATGTTTCCTTGCTTTATTTTGCCTTGTCTTGTTAATATATGTGATTTCTAACCTAATTTCACTGTGGCCCGAGTACATACTCTGTATAGCCTCCTTCTTTCAAAATGCTTGAGTCTGTGGCTCACCTTACCTTCCATTTTTGTAAAATTTCCTATGTTCTTGAAAGAACGCGCATTCTGCAGTGGCTGGGTGCAGTCTTTTGTGTATGGCGACTAGGTCCGATTGTTAATCGTGGTGTACAAATCTCCTGTGTCTTTTTAAAAAAATGATTATCTGCCTGTTCTCTGGGTTCCTAGAGGTAACACGCTGATTTTAACTTTGTCCAGTTTTGCTTTGTTTTTCAGCGACTGCATCAGGTGCCTACACATTAGAATTGTTAACATATTTTGCTGGTAAGCCCAACAACTGAACATCCATCTAGTTGTATATACTAGCTTTGTTTTGGTTCAAAGTCGTGAGAAGGTTCTTGTCCACCCATTTGCATTCGGTCTTCCCGTGGCCGTATTTTAAGTGCACTTCTTGTCAACAGCGAACCGTTGAAATTTCAGAAAACAACTCCTTCATCCATCTTTCTCTTTTAACTGGAACCTCGGGGCCTTGACAACTGATGAAAATCCCAGTTCACTGGGTTGCAAATCTGCCATATTACTTGCTGTTTTCTGTTTGCCTACCAGGTCCACATTCACTTTCTATTTCCTTTCCAACTTTGGGGTGCACTTAATATTTTTTAAATGTTTATTTTGAGAGAGACAGAGCAGCATGCGTGTGAGCAGGTCAGGGGCAGAGAGAGGGTGAGACATGGGGCTGGATCCCACGAACCGTGAGATTATGACCCTAACCGAAATCAAGTCAAGACGCTTAACTGAGTGAGCCAAGCAGGAGCCCCTAATCCATATATAATCCATATATATATATATATATATATATATATATATT